CAGCTGCTCCGGGTGGGGTCTTTCGCCAAGCTACGTGTTTTGCGGGGCGTCCCGCCCTACGCCGGCGGACGGGGCGACCTTATCTGATCGGGAAGTCAAGTACGGCAGGTTCGCGCCGTGTCGACCTGGGCGTTGGTTCCTGACGCCGCGGGGATCGTTCAACCTTGAACGATCGGCCCTCTCCGCAACGTCCGATCGCTCGACATCGAGCGATTCTGTGCCGCCGCCGGCGTTCAACGTTGAACGCCGGCGTCGGGGTCTCCGCCGGTCGACACGACGCGAGCCTGCCGTAGCCGGGAAGCACGGGCTTGGCCAAAGCCCTGCCGACGGTGCCCCCGTGCCCAGCAAGCGCCAAAAACACCCCTGGGCGCGCACGGGCGAGCGACGCAGCAGAGGGATGCACGCTCTGCGAGCGTCGAGCGTGCTGGAGCCAGGGCGCCATGCCTGACCCTGCGGCGCCCCCAACCCATGTGCATCATCAGGTGGCGAGCGACGTTGGCCCAACATCATATAGGTGCTGATCGTGCAGGGCCGTCTATCTTGCTCTAGCTCTACTACATGCATGCGCGCGCGCTGCTAGACTCATGGGACAACCATGGAAGGATGCCCTCAAGGATCACGAGGTCCCGCTCTGGTCTGCGTAGCTCCGCACTAAGCTGGCCTCTCCAAGGAGCCCACGAAACTGGCGACTGTGAGGCAGCTCGGAACTCCCCCGAGATGGCACTGTCCCACTCCGATCTGCACACTACCGCGCGAAGCTGCCCCCTCCCCTCAGAGGCCATCAAAAGTGGAGACGGTTTCACGGATCGCCGCCCCGCATGGATGGCGACTATAAGGCGTCACTCCGCTGACCCCCTCCCCCGCAACCCTCGACAATGAACGGATTCGCACTTCGCACTCCCTCAAGGATGGCGAGGTCTAGTCTGAAGTCTCGTCTGACGTCGGTCCGCTGCCCCCTCCCAGCAACCCTCGAAAGTGGCGAACGAGCCGCAGATCGTAGTCCCCCAGGGATGGCGAGATCTCATTTGAATCTGCATATGACGTCACTCCGCTGGCTTCCCCAGCGGCCCTCAAGAGTGACGACGGTTTCGTCCTTCGAACCCCCTCCCCCTCAGGGATGGCGAGATCTAATCTGAATTCACGCAGCCCTCGACTATGCTGCCCCCCCAGCAGCCCTCGAAAGTGGCGACAACTTCACACGTCACAATCCCCCAAGAACGGCGAAGTTTACCTAATCTGAATCCGCACAGGCCCCAGCCGAGGTCGAATCTGAATCTGCGCAGGCCCCCACCATGCTGGCCCCCCAGCAGCCCTCGAAAGTTGCGACAACTTGACAACTCGCAATCACCCAGGGATGGCGAGGTTGAATGTGAATCCGCGCATCCCCCGAAAATGCTGCCCCAACCCCCCGCAACAGCAGCCCCCGGACGCGGCGACAGGTTCACGCTTCGCAGCCCCCCCAGGGACGCTGCCCACCCACCCCCACCCCTCCACCCCTCAGCGGCCCTCGAAAGTGGCGAACCTTTCGCACTTCGCAGCCCCCCGTCCCCCAATCAGGGATGGCGAGGTCAAATCTGGATCCGCGCAGCCTCCGACTATGCTGGACCCCAGCCGCCCTCGAATGTGCTGACAGGTTCACAGAGGTCTAATCTGAACCCGCGCAGCGCAGCCTTCGACTATGCTGCTATGCCGCCCCCCTTCCCCCGCCCCCTCCCCCCCCCCAGCGGCCCTCGAACGTGGCGACACTTTCACAATTCGCAGCCCCCATCGGTGGCGATGTCTCATCTGAATCCTCGCAGCCCCCGACTATGCTCCCCCCCCCGCCCCCGCAGCCCTCGAAAGTAGCGACAGCTTCGCACTTCGAAACACCCCATGGATGGCGAGGAGAGGGGAGAGAAGATAGGGCAGGACATAGGTATGAGGCAGGAGGAGGGATGCGGGAGGATTAGGTCGAGATCCGAGTGCCCTGTTCAAAACGAGAGCCCAAACGCAGGAGGGATGGGAACCAGCCAGGGAAGAGGCAGGAGAGAAGATGCAAGAGACAAGAAGAGGAGGAGGAGGAGGAGGAGAAGGAGGAGGAGGAGAAGGAGGAGGAGGAGGCACGAGGCAAGAGGAGAGAGGAGAAGGGGGGCGGGAAGTGGAGGCCGCAGTGCTGCATTCGAAACGAGATCCCAGGAGGAGAATAAAGAGATAGGAGGAGAGAAGGGGCACGGGCAAAGGCGCGAACAGTCAGTCCTCCGCGAGCAAGTACTTCCCCATCCAGGGAGGAGCGAGGACGACATGGGCAGAGAATGCAGAAAATTGGCCAACCCGAGCGGAGCTAGCCAGCGTTCCACCTAATAAAGGGATGCGAGAGCGGAAAAAGCGAGACGAGAGGGGGGGTAGACCGATTCCATGAGGGGATGCATCGGTCAGTCTCGTAAGCCCCCGCTCAGCGCACCATGCGAACCCAAGAAGGTATTAATTTTCAAGCTGACCTCCTCCCTATTGTATTGTTGATGACAATGACGCAGCCGTGAGACGCAATGTCTCAACCTTGGAGAATGGGGGCTACCACCGCAGGGCCAGCTACCTGTTCAGGGGGACCAATCCCACGCACTCCTCACCACGCAGACGAGACGTCTCCGACTAGTAGCAGCAATGTTTGGCAACAAGATACCTGCGCGTGGTCAGCCGTGAGCACCAAGAGCGGAATGGAGCCTCAAACCGCCTGAACAAAGAGACGCCCGAGCTGGTCATTGAGAGATGCAGCCGCCCTCTGAACGATATTCGTTCCTGGTTCCTGGCAGGGTCGTCGTCCTGGCAGAGAATCCGAATCGCCTCCTTTGCAGTCGGTGACCGCAGTCGTGCGCAAATCAAAGTCTGCAAAGGCCACCAACATCATGTAGGACCAGGTGTGCCGCTAGCGTTACCTTTTAATGCCCGGAGTAGTAGCTGGTGTACATAGTACCCTGCGAGCTTACGCATGGAGGTTTGTGCAATGTCTAGGTTTCGCATTGAAATCGAAGCCGAGTGTGATCCGCCAAGGGTGATAACGCTGCACTCTGCGAACCAAAGCGCCAAATGCTTCATCACGTCCCCGCCGCCCCGTGCAAACTAAACCGATTGCCCAGGCAACCGGAGGCTCGGTGGACTCTGCCTGCACCCGGGAACTGTCCTGCCCGAGTGGTGAAAAATCGAACTCGCTGAGGCTGTGTGTGGCCCAGACGAACCACTTCTCTGCGGTTGCCCAAAGTTGCGTGCCTGATCATCGTGCGACGGTGGAGGAGGAGGAGGAGGAGGAGGAGGAGGAGGAGGACGAGGAGGAGGAGGAGGAGGAGGAGGAGGAGGAGGAGGAGGAGGAAGAAGAGGAGGAGGAGGAGGAGGAGGGGGGGAGGAGGATGGACCTAATCATCGTGTGACGGTGGCCCCTGCCTCAGGACGTCGAAACAGAACGCCGCCAGCGGGGCCCCACACGACACTGTCAACAGGCGCGGCCACACTCTGCGAGGCAGCAGCGTCCTGCAAGATCGCGTCACGAAGCAGAACCGATTCGAGCACGCCGACTGCGGGTCCGTGCAGCGCGATCTGCTCAAGTGTCTGAAGGGCGGCCCCGGCTTCGACCACCCCAGCTGCTTGGTAATGCCGGGCACACTGCAGTCTCGAGAAGCCGAGGCTCGTCACTACACCGGGCGCAAGATCCTCAAACATGTGTGCCCTCGGTGTGGAGCTTGGGCGGCAAGACGCGCGCACCTGGTCCGCGATGCACGAACCACTGGCCGAGCGGCGCACCATGACGGCCGGCAGCACAAGCGCTACCGCGGGCGCGGGCGGCCGCCCCGCCGATAGTGCCGCCAGCGCGCGAAGGTCGCGGACCCGCGGGAACCTCCTGACGTGTCGGCCGCGATGGCTGGCGAAATCACGCCGAGCCTCGCCGCAGGCAGGGCGCCCCGCGCGCCCGTGGGCGACGAGCTCGAGCGCGTGCTCGAGGCGATGGCCACCCTGTCGGCCGTCCGTGCGCCGCCGGCCGAGGAGGTCCGCCAGAGCGTCGCGTGCGCCGTCGGCACGATCGAGCACCCGAAACGGCATCCCGCGGCTCGCCTGCGCCGCCTCGAGCCTGACCGGGATCGCGCCGAGGTCTGGCGCGGCGAGGCGCGAGCCGCGCGCGGGCGCCACAGGGCTTCGCCGAGGTAGTCCTGCCAGGCCACCGCCGCGACCACAGGGCACCGCGCCCGGTACGACGCTCTTCTCCTCCTCCTCCTCCTCCTCCTCCTCCTCCTCCTCCTCCTCGCCCTCCTCCTGCTCCTCCTCGCCCTCCTGCGGGCGCGGCCTCGAGCGGAGTGACGTCGCAGAGCCGAGGAGGCTCCAGCGCGACGACCGCAGCAAGCGCGCGCTCGCCGTGCGCTCGAGCGCGCGCGCGAGGCCGGGCAGCCGCGCAGGGCAGCTCAGGTCGCCCAGGGGGAAGGCCGCCGCGGCGTCGATGCCGAGCTCGGTCAGGCTTGCAGGCGCCGCCGCCCTGCCAGGCCTGCGCTCGATCGCGTACTCCAGCTACGGCGGATCTGCCCCGCGGTCGCGCGCGTCTGTGCCGGCGGCCTCCTCGAAGCGCGCGTGTGCGCCCGCCGCGCCGAAGCCGCCCTGGGGGGCGGCGGCCGTGGGGCCCGACGCCGCGAGCGCCAGCCCGGTGCTGTGCAGGAGGCTGCCGACCACGTCGGCGAGGGAGCCCAGCCCGAGCAGGCCGCGGAGCTCGTCGCGCCAGCGCGGGGGCTCCGCCGCGGACCGGGGCCCCGCTCGGGCGGCGAGGCACGCCAGCGCCCCCCGGACCAGCCTGCCCGGCAGGCCGTCCAGGGGCACGTCCATGCACGTCTGGTATGACGATCCAGCGAGTCCTCGGGCACGCTCCACCTCGCGCGGCGGGCCAGCGCCTCCACCGCACGGGGCGGCCGCTCCATCCAGCGCGCGCGGCGGCCGCCAGGCCGAGGAGGGGAGGCTCGGGTCTTCGCGCCCGAGGTCGCCCAGCGGACCTTGAGGCAGAATGGCTACGGATCCTGTTCCTTGTCAGGGGCAGTCTTCGGGCTCAGACCGCGCGTATGACCCCTCGACTGCAACAGCAATGGCTTCCGCCCGAGACTTCCTCGCGTACTCAGGGTGCGCGCTCTTGCCAGAAACGTCCTCGCAATGGACTCAACAATCGGGAACTCGCCCACGCCTTTCTTACAATATCCGAAGGCATCTCTATCTCGTGCCTCAGGTTTTAAGCTCTCCCTCCTCGTGACTTCCCCACCATTTCTTCAAGCGCAGCCTCCTCGCCGCTCAGGAATCACACCCGTGCCCAAGAATTCTTCGCAATTCGCATCGGAGTCGCGCCCTCGCCCGAGACGTCCTCCCGGCTTGCTCGAGAGTCGTGACTTCTTGTGTCCCCGCCCGGCCCGCACGTCAGGGTCCGCCCGCTCGGCCCGCCCGTCAGGGTCAGACTCAGCCACGCGCATAGGGGGGTGGAGGGAGGGGGGAGGGCTTCTTAGAAGCACCCCTGCTTCTTAGAAGGCGCGGGCCTTCTCTAGAGATGTAAGGCTGGCGCCTTCTAAGAAGCAGCCTCCTTCTAAGAAGCCCTCCCCCTCCCTCCACCCCCTTGTGCGCGCCGCCCACAGACGCCCGCCTCGCTCGTTGAGGTCCGCCCCTTCTCTCGGCTGGGCGCCCTGCCGCCCGCTTCGCTGTCCCGGTCGCCCGGCGCGCCCATATCACGGCCCTCCCGCCCGACGCGCCGATGTACAGTCAAAAACCTTAATAAGGACGCGCGGTAAGGACGCAAGACCCTCGGAAACCGAAGTTGGGATTTTTGGGGCGGCGGGCGACGAAAACCTCAAGGACGCAAGAGCAAGGAAGAGCAAGGACGCAGGGGTACCCTGAGCAAAGTCGCGCGTCCTTATTAGGGTTTTTGACTGTAGGTTCGCCCACCCGACTCGCCTGTCCTACCCTGCCGTGCTCCGCCTGGGAGCTGGTCTCAAAAAGCCAGACAGGTACGTCAATGAACGGAGAGGGCCAAAGTCGCAAGCTTGGGGTACACATGCTGAAGAGCACGCGAACAAATACAAGCGAACAGCATCGAAGAGATTGCTGTTGCTGCTGTCGTCGCCCTTGTAATCACAATTGTCCTCGCTAATCGTCGCCAAATCGTAATGGCCGCAACCATCGCCACGAAGAGAAACGGACATGACTCGCTCGCAATGACAGTACAGCTCACTGCGATGCTTCTCGCTTCATGCAAACTGTGCGGAGTCAAACTCGGGACGTTGAGCCGCAGACTAGGACCAAATGCCCCTGAGAAGGTGACGTCGTTTCCGCGCGCGCTACCTGTGCCCCTTCGAACACACGCGATTAAATGGAAGAACACCTTTGTCCGAAAGACGCCTGGTCAGCCCTACCGACGACCATCCAAGTCAAAACCCTGCATTCGCTTCGATCGTACGCGAAGGAATGAGTGCACCACGAGCGGCGACGGCGCAGCTGAGGCTTCGGCGAAGGAGCGCAGGACGTCTGTGGCACGCGTGAACAGAGCCAACTGGCCGCGGGGTCGTCTGTGGGCTGGCGCGGCTGAAGGCACACCTCGATCGCCCGAAAAGCCAGCACCACGAACCACCCGTAGTCCTGAGACGGGCGGCCTGTCTGGCACTGCGACCCTCAGCAGATGTCGATGCTTCACTGCAGCTCACCGCACTCTTGCCCTGGTCGTTCCCAGCCATTCCATCCAACCCCTCCCCGCATCCCCTATGCGTGTTCTCCCGCCAGCGCTCCTTCTATTCCCTCGTTCTGCCTTCCCTGCATGCGGTCCTCGATCAAATGCTCCCTTTTCGCACCAACGTCCTCCGGCAACTGATGGGAGCCTCCCACAACATCTTGTTGGCTCTTGCGAATCGACGCTAGTTGACGCTAAATCGACACACATCGACGCTAATCGACGCTAGCCGACGCCAAATCGGCGCTACCTCATCGACTCCCAGACGCTTAGCGACGCCAGAGACGGGTACACCCGGCTCCCATGATTTGCGAGCGAACCAGTGAAGGCCGCTGTTCACTCCACCCGCTCTCTTAGTGTAAAAGTCGCCCCGTCACGGCTCAATCTCGGCCTTTCCTTAGGGGAACAAAAAGTTACATAAAGACAAAAATTCGGAGGTCCGCGCGGATTTCTCGGATCCGCGCTGGACCCCCCTCCCTGGCGCGCGCTGGAGGCGCCGCCAGGGGGCCCCAGCGCGGATCCGAGAAATCCGCGCGGACCTCCGAGTTTTTATGTTTATGCCACTTTTTGTTCCCCTATTCCTCGCCGTGCCACCGCCGGCACTGCGACTGAAACGTAGATGGCGCTGCTGGGCCTCGCGCGCTCCCTCCTCCCGTGTACCTTGATCATGCTCGGCGGCGAGCAAGGGGGGGGGGAAGTGAGACGGACAGGGCCCTCTCGGAAGGCTCGGAAGTCCCCCCGCCTTCTGAGAAGTGCTCTGTGCCTTCCCCGAAGACGCCCAGAACCTCTCAGAAGGCGCGAGGGCTTCGGAGAAGTCCCGCCGCCTTCTAAGGAGGCCTCCTCCTTCTCACTCCGCCTCATCGCTCGCCGGCGAAATGCCGCATCGGCGCATGACGACATCACTGGTAACACAAAATCAAATTGGTAGACATAACGCATTAACTGAACAAGGATGTCCGCACCAACCGCGTGAAACTCGCAGGTGGAGGTAAACCGTAGCAGTGACGTTGGTAATCGGAGTGGGAAGCACATCGAAGCATTGACGAGTTAAGCACTACTGAAAGCAATATGCTGATGAAAAAGGCCCACATCAACTAGATGTACGCGTACGTATGCGTACATGTGCGAATGCGCACGCAACGCAAACAAATGCGCCGCCAGACCGGCACGCAGGCCCAGACGACGGGCGGCGACGAGGAGGCGACGGGGTGGCGGCGGCGAGCACGGAGCCGCCAGACTGGCCCGCAGGCCCAGACGACAGGCGGCGACGGGAAGGCGACAGGGTGGCGGCGGCGAGCACGGAGAAAAGAAAAAAGGACCCCTAAGTGCAAGCACTGCTTGGGGAAAAGAGCCCTGCTGCCGTCTGGCAAGGACATGTCCTCAGAGAGCACGCCGAGACTGCGCGGCAACGAGAGACTGACTTCAGCCGGCAGGCGTACTACTTTACACTCCCTCAAATACTCCTTTCAGCGCTGTCTCAAATACTCTGAAGAGCTGTTTGAGGATTCGTTCATCAACGGCGTAATCAGTTGTCATAGATTGTGCTCTTATTTTTTGTTGTTGCGTGTGCCATGCCAATTTGCCAATATGCCCCTGAGAATTCTGCAAGAAATAAAAGAAACTCTAAAAACCGACGCATTTGTTTGACCCTGCACTGAAATTTCTACAGGACAGCGGATCCTGGTGTATAAGGGGTCCTGGTGTGTACACGTTCCATTGTTTTTACACGAAACCGAAACAAAAAGTATATACCACACAACTCCGACGTCGTCCCCGACCATCAGAATTTGCTGCGATTGAAAGACAGCCCGCCGCTGGCAATGTAGATGCTCCAATCTCCAAACAAGAACACACCCCCTTTCCCCCAAACGCTACACAACTCTGCCAGTGGGGGGCTCCATTCCTGGCTGCCCTGCGTCCCCGGAGCGGCCGGCGTCCTTCCGTGTGCGCAGCACTGCCAGGATGCCTCTCGCAGGCGCGTGCGGCAAGAGAGCATCAACAAACGACGACCGCTTGCCCTTTGTGACGCCGAGAGGCATTAGAACTGCATGTCAAACTGCTCGAGCGTGACGCCGCAGCACAGAAATAGGAGCATAAAGTAGGTGATTGACAGGCTTCCTGGGCCCCCCGACAAGCCTTTTGGGTATCCCGACAGGCCTCTTGGGCCTGCCGCCGCACCTTTTGGGCATCCCGACAGGCCTCTGGGGCCCTCCCGACAGGCCTCTGGGGCCTCCCTCTGGGGCCCTCCCGACAAGCCTGTTGGCCGCCCGACAGGCCTCTTGGGCCCTACCAGCAAGCCTCGGCCTCCCGACAGGCCTCTTGGACCCTCTCCGCGAACCTCTTGGGCCTCCCGGCAAGCCTCTTGGGCCCTCCCGACAGGCCTCTTGGGCCTCCCGACAGGCCTCCGGGGCCTCCCGAAAGACCCCCTCCGTCATGCTCACGTCGCTGCGTGGCGTCAGCCCACGTTTCCGCATTCCCGCTCGCACGCGCCGTCGCCCGGGGGGGAGTGAGAGGATATGGGAGAAGAGGAGGAGGAGGACGAGGAACACGAGGGAAAGATGACGCTGCTGTTGATGACGAGAAACATGTCGATGCTGATGGACATGATGATGCGGATGTTCATGACGCCGACGGTAATGATGACGATAACGATGGGGATGAGGATGATGCTGAGGATGAGTAGGATGATAAGGAAGCGGCGGAGGATAATGAGGGGAAAGAGGCATGATTCAGGCGGACGTGTGTGATAAGGAGGACGACGAGGATTCATGCGGACGAGGGGGGCGAACAGAATGATAATGATGATGATGCTGCTGACGATGCTTGTGATGATGGTGCCGATGATGATGCTGATGGTGATGGTGATGATGGTATTGATGCGGGTAATGATAATGGTGATGATGCTTCTGATGATGATACTGCAGATTATGATGGTGGTGATGATGATGAAGATGATGCGAATGGTGATAACAATGCTGAACACGATAATGAGGAAGAGGATGACAACGATGATGACAAAGATGATGGGCATGATGGGATGATGCTGACTATGATGTTGCTGATGATGGTGATGATGATGATGATGAGGATGATGATGAGGATGTTTAGAATGATGGTGATAATGATGATGAGGGTGAGAACGATTATGCAAGTAGTGGTGCTGACTATGATGTTGATGATAATAATGATGATGAGGCTGATGATGATCAGTGTTGTGGTGATGATGGCCATGATGAGGTTCAGTATAGTGATGGGGAGGGGGGCGCGGGGGATGAGGAAGACGATGCTGCTGATGCTGACGATGCTCATGATGACGATGATGATGACGATGACGCTTGTGATCATAAATTACAATGATGGCGATAGCAATTATGATGATGAGGATGATGGTCGCGACGGTGATGCTATTGATGGAGAGTGCGTGGACGATACTTATCGACAGTCTCCGTCGTTGCTGTCAGTCGTCGTCGTGCGTTGTCTTTCGCCGTCGTAGTTGTGTGTCGTCAGTCCTCGTCTGCGTGCCCTTTTTTTTTTCTCTCTCTCTGTCTCTCTCGAGCGCGCGCCGTCGCCCGGGGGGAGTGAGAGGATACGCAGGAGAAGGAGGAGGAGGAGGAGTGCCATGGGGGAGGAAAAAGCACACGAAGGACAGAGGAGGACGATTCAAGCGGTCGAAAGGCACGAGGGGATGATGATGATGATGCCGATGATGATGATGATGATGATGATGGTGATGATGATGATGATGATGATGATGATGATGATGATGATGATGATGATGATGATGATGATGTCGGTGCTGATGATGGACATGGCGACGACGGTGATTATGACGATGACTGTGTGGAGGATGCGGATGAGCGAACGTAACCTGGCGGAAACGTTCAGCGTGCTAGCGGCAGCCCGGCCGCGCGGCGCCCTGGCTCAGGGCGCGCGGGGAGGAGCTGTCACTGACGTAGTTCTTGTCAGACGAGGTAGTCGGGAGGAAGTCCAGGGAGTCTGTATAGGAGTCCAGGAGCGAGTTGAACAAGTCCACGCACGCAGCGGAGCGGATGTTCGTGAGCAGACTGTCGAAGTGCTCGACGAATTTGGCATTGGTGACAGTAGTCACGTCGTGCATGTCTGATTTTTCTTGCTTCGGTGGGTTGGCCGATTGTTCATCCGAGAACTCCTTGCTGGCGGGCTGGTGGATGTTTCCCATCTTCGCCACCCGCATGCCGAGGGACTCGAGGTCCTTGTTCATTAAGTTAGTGAGCAGCTGTATCTGCTCGCGTACAGTGTCGAAGAGCTGCTTGTAGTTAGAGGTCGTCTGCTTTTGCATGTTCTCCGACAGTGCCAGCAGAGACTTGCCATTGATCGGAGTCAGTTCTCTGGCCCATGCCGCGAGCGCGTCTTCCAGCATGTTCACCGTGACGAGCGGGGTGGCGGGAGCGGAAGACATCGTAGCCGTGCGGGGAGGAGGCAAGTTCATGTCAAAGAGATGGTTGTCGGCGCCAGAAGCATCCGCAAGAGCGTGCACACGAGGCTCCGGGAGAGCGTGGGCGTCACGATCCTCCAGAAGAACATGCAGGACGGCACCCGCAGGGTGGTGGCGAGCTTCCGATTGAGTAACAAGATTACCCTGGCGGTCGTCAGCGTGCCACTCTTTATCTCCAGAGGCATGAGCATCACCAGAAACAGGGTCAGGAAATTGTTGATCGCCGGCGGCATGAGCATCAGCAGCAGGATTGAGGTCTTCAGCGGAGTCACCATCAACTTCACGTTGGACTGCGACGCGAGCGGCATGAACATCACCAGCGTCACATCCACGCCGCGCATGAGAACCAGCAGGGTCAGCCACCCGGATGACGAAGGATTGCAGTTGAATCTCCAGCGGCGTCAGCATCACCAACGACGGGTTCAGGAAACGGTTGACCGCCAGCAGCATGACCATCCCCAGCGTCGCAATAACGGCGTTCGCGAGGTCCAGCAGGAGCGCCCGATTCACAAAGGATTGCTTGAGCGTTGCCAGCGGCATGAGCATCACCAGCAGCGGAAGAATGACATGAATGAGCCCCAGCGGCAGCACGGGCGCGTGGATGTACGTGCAGGTGGTCACGATCATGGACAGCTTCAGGAAACACCCCGGGACCAGGTCCTGCGCCTTGTATGCCATGAACACGTAAGGGGAGCGGGCCAGCACCAGCATCCGCACGGCGAGGTACCCGAGGCAGAGGAAGGAGATCACGTGCAGCCCCAGGTTGAGGGAGCGGACCGGCTCCATGTCGTAGCGGAGCTGCAGCGGCAAGCGGTGGCAGTGGTCCCACAGCTCCACCAGCGGCTTGCTCGTGAAGTTGAGATATGAAGCGTGCCACTTTCGGAAGCTCTCCCTCAACTCCGCCCGAGCACACCCCCAGATAATATACAGGAACGACAGAAGGATGAGGCGCGTGTGCAGCGAGGGCATGGCGACGATCACGAGCGGCATCTATGTGATCTTGAACAGGTGCATCGGGCAATAGAGGATGCAGTTGTAGAGCATGTCGCTTGTGGGTGCACTGCCCTTGCCGCTGAAGGTGACGACAGAGGCGGGCGTGAGCAGCGGCCGGCGACCGAGCATGCGGCATGAAGGCCAGGGCCGCGGGGTTCAGGCACCACATCGCGAAGCATCGAGGAAACATATGGAGGCGCGGGCCTCGGCAGGCGGCGCGGCGCACGGCCCGGGGGGGCCTTGGGCGAGACAGCAATGGAACCCATGTCGGCCCAAGTCCGAGATCCCACGGAGGGGACGGTCTTGAACCAAAATGGCTACGGAGGGAGGATGCGGATGAGGATGAGGAGGGTGCTAGTAAGGAGGAGAATGAGGAGGAGGAGCAGAATGAGGAGAAGAGGACGGAGATTAAGGCGGACGAAGGTGATGATGAGAACCAGGGGGATTGATGCGGACGAGAGGTGGATAACGATGAGGATAAGGAGGAGGAGGAGGAGGAGGAGGAGGAGGAGGAGAAGAAGGAGCCCGAGGGGAAGAGGAGGTGGAGAATTGAGGCAGAGGGAGCGGACGAGGGGGATGCCGAAGAGGTTGATGCTGGTGGAGATGGTAATGGCGATGGTGACGGTAATGGTGATGATGGTGATGATGATTGTGATGGTGGTGATGATAATGGTGATGATGATGATGATGATGGTGGTGATGATGATGGTGATGATGATTGTGATGCTGATGTTTATAATGATTAAAAAGATGAAGATGATGCTGGTGACGATGACGATGACGATGACGATGACGATGATGATGATGATGATGATGATGATGATGATGATGATGATGGCGTCTAGGATGGTGATGGGGAAGGCACGATGAGGATGAGTATGATGATGCCGATGACGATTTTGAGGATGGCAGGGATATAATAGTCATGGGGCAATGTGTGATAGTGGTGAAATGCAAAGAGGGAGGCAAGGTTCAACCATTCCCGCCAGTTCTCGCCGCGTTCCCCCAAGTTGGGCGGACCATGTGCCCGAAATGCTATAATGTCGCTGGAAGGCGGGCGAACGTGACGCGAAACCCTGCGATCAGTAATCTCGTCTCAAGCGGAGGAGGATGAATACTGAGGGCGAGGGCAATGCTGACGATGCTGATGATGATGCTGACACTAATGGTGATGATGATGATGATGATGATGATGATGATGATGATGATGATGATTATGATGATGATGATGATGATGATGATGATGATGATGATGGTGATGATGCTGGTGATTGATGATGATGCTGGTGGTGGTGATGATGATGATGATGATGATGATAATGCTGATGATGATGATGACGATGCCGATGCTGATGCTGCTGATGGTGGTGATGGTGATGATGCTGGTGATGATGATGGTGGTGGTGGGGAGGAAGAGAAGGATGCTGCGGATGCCCAAGCTGATTAATCATATCTGGTAGCCTTCGGCCTATCTCGCCGCCGTGCCCAGGTTGAAGCCTCTTGGTTGCGTGTTGGGGTGTCGTGGGGAGCCTCTGGGGAACCTCCTGGGGGCACCCAAGAAGCTCAAAGACGGCCTTGGGCCCGCCAAGATACTCCCCAGATGGTTCAAGCGGTCTCCAAAAAGCTTCCAAGAGACATCCGAGGTGACTCCGAGAGGCATTTAAGAAGCTTCTGGCTGTTCGGTGTCCTCTTTTTCTTTTTCTTATTATTCCTCTTCTTCTTCTTCTTCTTCTTTTTATTATTACTATTCTGATTATTATTATTCTCCATCCGCCTATTACTCCTCCGCCCTCCTCCACCCTCCTCCTCCTCCTCCTCCTCCTCCTCCTCCTCCTCCTCCTCCTCCTCCTCCTCCTCCGCTTCCTCCTCCTCCTTCTCCTCCTTCTCCTCCTTCTCGTCGTCCTCGTCTTCGCCCTGCTCCATATCCTTCTGCTCATTCTGCTCCTCCTCCTCCTCCTCCTCATTATGCTCCTCCTCCCCCTCCTCCTCCTCCTCGTCCTCCTCCTCCTCGTCCTCCTCCTGCTCCTCCTGCTCCTCCTGCTCCTCCTGCTCCTCCTGCTCCTCCTGCTCCTCCTGCTCCTCCTGCTCCTGCTCTCCTCTCCTCCTCCTCCTCCTCCATCCTCCTCCTCCTCCTCCTCCCTCCCCCTCCCCCCCCTCCTCCTCCTTCTCCTCCTTCTCCTCCGTCTCCTCCTTCTCCTCCTTCTCGTCCTCGCCCTACCTCATTCTCCTCCTCCTCCTCCTCCTCCTCCTCTTCCTCCTCTTCCTTCTCCAAGAACGACGATTCCTCATCCATCCTCCTTCTCTTGGGGTATATGACGGCTTCTCCCGCCCTTGGTTTTCTGCATGCCCCCCCTGCCACTCTGATCACCTCAATTCCCCAGGGCATCGTTTCTGCATGGGCTGGTAGGGGAACGGGAAGCGTCAACCACATGCTAAAAAAGACACCGCCCCACTAGGGGACGGGACAATTTTGGCCTCCTGGGGCTCTCTCGGGGCGCATCTTGGAACCTTCAACGTCTTCGGGGCCTCTTGAACCGTCTTGGATCAATATTCGGGCGTCTTCGGCCCTGTGGGGCCGCTCTGGTCGCTGTTGGTGCCCTCCGGGAGGCAACGGAAAGGGTCAAACATGTCGTGGGGTAAATCCGGGAGGGTGTCCCAGTCCGGGCCGAGGGCCCCCGGTGCGCCAGCGTGTACGCAGGGCGTGTGCGGGGCAATCACCGAGCCCTTGCGTCCCTGTCTACCCCGTGCCCTGCGCCCCCCCTCTTTCGGATGCAAGCCGGGCGCAAAGACGTTGAAATACATCAAGGGTTCTGCAGTACCTGCTTCTCCTTCCTCCTCCTCCTCCTCATCATCACTGCTGGCACTCACTCGGTGGTGCGAGGCGGTCACGTCGTGACCGCTGCTTGTGACAAAACAGCTCCGCTGAAGTAATAACCCACACAAGGTTTGAACTGGAAGTAGACAGGTACCAGCCACGCGGATTACACCGAAACCTCGAAACCTACAGCCCCAGAAGAAGGCCAGGTTTACAAAGCGTGCCCCCACCAGTGTCAGCACGGCCCTCAAGGATCGTGTCCCCCTGTGAGCTCCTCCAAAAACAAAGTTTACATGGCGCCCCCCCCCCTATCCGAACACCCTTCACACGGATCGCGCCCCAGAAGAATGTAGCTTCAAGTGCGGCCCTTCTGGGAGGGGTCGCGTGACGCCACGTCCCCGTGTATCATGACTGTCTCCTCACACGGACCGTACCCCACTGGCAGCTCCACCGACAGCCCCAGCGCCGAGGTTCGCATCCCGCCGCCCCGCCCATGTCGGCACACCCCTTACCTGGATCGTGAGGTCGTGGCGTTTTGGGTGCCTCTACGCGCGCGAGCTGCGGCGGCGCTGGGTCCTAGTTGCTCCTCTCCCTCCTTCTCCTCAACCTCCTCCTCCCACTTCCTCCTCCTCCTCCTTCTCCGCCTCATCCGCCTCTTCCTCCTCCTCTCTTCCTCTTCCTCTTCCTCTTCCTCCTCCTCCTCCTCCTCCTCCTCCTCCTCCGCCTCCGCCTCCTTTCCTCCTTTCCTCCTTTCCTCCTTTCCTCCTCCTCCTCCTCCTCCTGCTCCTCCTCCTCCTCTTCCCCCGTCCACCCCTGTCCCCTGCCTCCGACGACTTGAAATTTTCTAGCCTCAGGCGCCCCCCCGTGGGGGCGCTATCTTGTGGAATACTGTGGCGTGTTGGGAGTCGTTGGGTTCCATCTTGGTTTTCTGGTGTCCTCTTCGGCGTTCCTTGGGCAGTCCAGGAGTTTTGGGGATTTTTGATACGTAGTGTTTCTTTTTTGAGGGTTGTCTCTTGATCTCTTGGGACTCTCGTGTGGCTCGCTTGGGGATGGCCTGGGGCCCGTCTAACTAGCCTGTCGGGACTCTCTTGGGCCGTCTCCAGCCCACCCGGGCCACTTTGATGCCTCATTGGGGGCCTATGTGGCCGTCGTGGAACGATCTTCAAGGAACTGTCGGGCCGTCTTGAACGCTGTGAACATCAATATGGTCCATGTGTTAGACATGCGCGCATTCCGTACGGAGATGTGCGATTTGGCCCTTTGGGGGGGCCTCTCGGAGCTCTTTCGGCGCGATTTGGGAACCTTTGGAGCCGCCAGAACTATTTTGACGGTCTGGAACGCCTTTGGGGCGCTGTTGCGTGCTCCTGGGCCCACGGGCTGGAGCCAAGGCTGCAGGTGCTGAAAGCTCGGAGAACGTCGAACCAGCACGTCGAAAGGAGGAGCGGCGCGCGAGCTCACAGCAGCGAGAGTAGGAGCATCTGGGCAACCGCCACGAAGTCGTACGCGCCAGGCTTTGCTGCTAGGGCACGCCAGCAGCAGGATACAGACGTGGCCCGAGCGACCGCGGCGAGAGCTGGGGCTGCGAACAGCGAGCTCAAGCAAAATGCTGCCATGAGTCGACGGGCTGCCGACTTGCTGAGCAACCGAACCTCCCCAGCGAGAAGCAATCCGCCAACGCCACGGATTGCCCATGCGAGGGGGGGGGGTCAGGAGCCCTCCTCCTCCTCCTCCTCCTCCTCCTCCTCCTCCTCCTCCTCCTTTTGCTCCTCCCCCTCCTCCTCCTCCCTCCCTCCTTTTCCTCCTCCTCCTCCTCCTCCGCCTCCTCCGCCTCCTCCTCCTCCTCCTCCTCCTCCTTCTCCTCCTCCTCCTCCTCCTCCTACAAGCCTGGCCAACGCACGCATCACAGCCGGGCGGGGCAGCGGCGCCCGGCCACAGCGCCGGCCAGGCAGCGGCGCCCGGCTGCGAGAACAGCGGGGCAGGAGGCCCGTCGAGAGCCAGAGGGAGGGTGCCCCCTCACGCCGACGAAGGACAACGTGAAGGGCAGCGCCCGTTGCGCAGCGCTGTCTTGCACACGACGTCCCACCAGCTGCCCGGGGGCGCCGCCCGGATACCTCCAGCGCGCCACGGGGACCGCTGCGCGTGATTGTTGCACGCACTTCCCCAGCCAGGGAACAGACGGAATAATCCTCCTTGGTGGGTGGATGCCCTGCCAAGTCACAACGCAAAGAGAGGGCGGGAGGACGTGCCACCTTGGAGGGCAGCGCGCGGGAGGAAGCACCTGATTGCTGCGCGGCCGCGGGGACAAAATGAGGGATACCTCGGGGACCCCCCTGGGCGGGAGTCGGCCTGGGCGCCCACCTTGAAAGGCTGACGCCCACCGCGGCACCGCCGAGCGCCAGCCACGCGACATGGTCGGCCCCATGGCGCCCGCATGTTCGGCGACGATCGCGGGGCTCAGCTGCCTCTTGCCTCCGACGACCATGATCTGACCTCCCGCCTTGGCCAGGAG